CCAAGTTTTCCTGAATTAATATATTTACTATAATTTTTTTTCTTATGAATGATAAGCAAAGCAACCCTTTTCTCTATGTATGAGGTAAATTTTTTTTTATTGGAGTTAAAATTAATGTAGATATATGACCGAACCTAACCAACCCTACCTACCCTAACCTAACCTATATTTATAGGTAAGGTTAGGTTAGGTATCCAAAAAAAGCTAGGTTAGTTAGGTTAGGTAGGTTAGGTAGACGAAAAAAACATTAATTCATGAAAACTTGGCTTATTAGGCAAATCGGGCCTTGAATAGTAGGCTGAGAAGTGCGTTCTGGCTATTAGGTACGACATATATATATATATATAAACTGAAAAAATAAGCCTGATAAGGCCTGATAAAGCCTGATAAGAAAAAATAATGTCATGTTCACTATGAGTTTAGATTCTATCAATTCCAGGAGATTAATTAGATTAATTTAGTTAGTTTTTTCTACTGAAAATATGTACGTGATCATTTAAACATTCTACTACGAAAACATTGTATTTAATACAATTCGAATCGTTGTTTTGTATTATCTGATAACTTACATTGATATCTCACATTGAAAAATCAAATTGTTATCGTATTATTCCTTGAAAAACTGATTCTCATAATCTTCTTCCCGTCCATAGGCAGAACTTATAAACAATCTAATATAATTATAGTATTCTTAATTGTCTTTCATTGAAACTTTCATGAAATTTGATTTAATGTCTTTACCATAAAATATATTTTTTTTATCAAAATTGCAATTAGAGCCTTATGCCTATACAAATTATATATATTCGTATTACCATCAATTACATTACATTTTCGTCCCTAAAGACGAAATATGAATTTGTGAATCTTGTGAATTTTACAAAGGTTCACAAGGTTCACAACCTTGTGAACCTTTTGGTGAACCTTGTGAACTTTTTGGTGAACCTTTTGATGAGCCTTTTGGTGAACCTTGTGAACCTTTTGAACCTTTTGGTGAACCTTGTGAACCTTTTGGTGAACCTTGTGAACATTGTGAACCTTTTGGTGAACCTTATGAACCTTTTGGTGAACCTTATGAACCTTTTTGGTGAACCTTGTGAACCTTTTGGTGAACCTTGTGAACCTTTTGGTGAACCTTGTGAACCTTTTGGTGAACCTTGTGAACATTGTGAACCTTTTGGTGAACCTTATGAACCTTTTGGTGAACCTTATGAACCTTTTGGTGAACCTTGTGAACCTTTTGGTGAACCTTGTGAACCTTTTGGTGAACCTTGTGAACCTTTTGGTGAACCTTATGAACCTTTTGATGAACCTTTTGAACCTTTTGGTGAACCTTGTGAACCTTTTGGTGAACCTTGTGAACCTTTTGGTGAACCTTGTGAACCTTGTGACACCCGGTCATTGGAGGGTTCAAGGCACTTACGAATATATCTCAATAGCTCCTCGTGGGTCAATGATCTTCAGATCAGTATTGACCAGACCACACACTAGTAAGTGAAGGGACGACGACGTTTCGGTCCGTCCTGGACCATTCTCAAGTCGATTGCGATCAATGTTTCAAATCAATGATCAATGATCTATATATTCGGATCAATTTTTGCAGATATTTCATGCGAATTAAAAAGTGGCTATACTTCTCTCTTCCCCCCCCTGCCCCCCCCCACCATTTCTCTCTTGTCACTAACTATTGATAGATTGTTTGCAGTTCAGTTTTACAAACGAGTTTTGAAACATGAATTGTACAGGATTAAAAATGTAGCTGCAAGTAGGTGAGGTTAGGTGAGGTGAGGTGAGGTTAGGTTATGTTAGGTTAGGTTAGGGTAGGTGGTTTCGGTTAGGTGAGGTGAGGTGTGGTTAGGTTAGGTTAGGTACGGTTAGGTGAGATTAGGTGAGGTGAGGTGAGGTTAGGTTAGGTTAGGTTAGGTTATGTTAGGTTAGGTTAGGTAAGGTTAGGTTAGGTTAGGTTAGGTGAGGTTAGGTTAGGTGAGGTTAGGTGAGGTTAGGTTAGGTGAGGTGAGGTGAGGTTAGGTTAGGTGAGGTTAGGTGAGGTTAGGTTAGGTGAGGTGAGGTGTGGTTAGGTTAGGTTAGGTGAGGTGAGGTGAGGTTAGGTTAGGTTAGGTGAGGTGAGGTGAGGTTAGGTTAGGTTAGGTTAGGTTAGGTTCTAACAAATTGGTAAATTTAAGAGGTAGTTTGCTCTGATTTCATAATAATAAAGTCCTAATATATGTATATTATAACCATGTCTAAATTTTTGTTATAAATGTAACCTGTAGGATGGCTAATGTTAATGAGATTCTTCAGTGAACCTAATTCCACCTTTTGTTTTTACGGTTGAAATGTGTATTAGATTTAATTGCTTAATTTAATCCGCACCATTTATATAAAAAATAAAATTAATTAAATTATTAATTTAAATTTAATTTAATTTATATAAAAATTTAATATTTTTATATAAATTTATAAATTTATATAAAATTTTTATATATTTTTAATAATTTATATATTAATTAAAATTATAGAAAAAGAAAAAGAAAAAGAAAATTATAAAAAAATTAAATATAATTTTTTATATATATTTTTAATATAAATATTTTATACAAATTAAATTAATAAATTAAATTATAAAATTAAATTAAATTTTTATATAAATTTTTTATATAAATATGCATTTCCACCTCCAGAGCAAGTTTTGAGTTCCCGGAAAAGGCTATGGAACATACCCCTGTCGAGGTCGAGGACCGGGCCGCGGGGACACTAAAGCCCCGAAATCATCTCAAGATCTCAAGATAACCCCATACTTAGCATGGAATTTGCAGAGGTTATCACCACCACACACAGAGATCACACTAACGTGATGCGTCAAATGAACAAATCCACAAGGTTAAGGCAGTGTCTGGGATGCTCCCGGACGCAGGTTCGAATCCTCGTCACGGCCCTTGTGGATTTGTTCATTATCACCACCTCTTGAAGCGGAGAACTTTATGATAGAACAAAAATTCACGAGCAGACGATGAGTCTCAATAACGTGGCTGAAAAATCGAAATTTTTTCGAAAAAAATGAAATTGAGAATGGTCCAGGACGGACCGAAACGTCGTCGTCCCTTCACTTTCTTGGAAACTGAATAAGATATTCCCAACTACCTGAATCCGTGAACCTGTCTAGGTCCTTTAAGAACATATTTCTTTTACAACTTAAGCACTTGTCGCTCTAAGGTAACTCTCTCAACTTCATAGTACTACACTGAATCTTATGTCGGCAGCACAATTTGTTAAATCGTCTGTACATTAAACAGAAGAAGTTAATGTCACTAGTAAGGAAGGGAGAAATAATAAAGTAATTTTCTTTACTAAATTCAAATGTTCTTGTAAAGTAACATATATCATCAAAGAAAAGGTAATATGACGTAGTGGTCTTTCATATGTAAATTTCTCACATATCTCTCATTAATACACAGGCAACTGCTACTTTTTTTTCTAAAGCATACTTAGCTAAATGTTAAATTCAGGTGTTTAAATTTTTACCTAATTCATTCTTTCCACGAAACTCCTGATATTAACACATTTATAACATTTACACTGGTCCAAGTACATCATAAAAATTAACCTTACTTGTTAACACATTCAACCTTCCCTATTCCTTTATTTAAATTAATTGTAAGACATTCCACCCTACAAAATTGTTCTTTCGATATTATGTAATGCATTACATTCTTAATGCCTAAGAGACCCAAGAGCCAAAGCTCAACCCCCACAAGCACAACTAGGTGCGTACACACGCGCGGCAAGAACACCTTGGGCCTGATTCACGAAAGCACTTACGCAAGTATTTAGGAACCTGTACATCTTTCCTCAATCTTTGACGGCTTTGGTTACATTTATTAAACAGTTTACAAGCATGAAAACTAGCCAATCAACTGTTGTTATTGTTATAAACAGCCTCCTGGTGCTTCGGAGCTCATTAACTGTTTAATAATTGTAAACAAAGCCGCCAAAGATTGAGAAAAGATGGACAAGTTCGTAGGTGCTTGAGTAACTGCTTTGTGAATCTGACCCCTTGATATTTAGATATGTCTAAAAAGTTGGAATGAAAACTAGCAAGAAGGCTAGTTGAATTAGTTTTCAATTAGAGTTTCGTGATTATTGTTAAAGTTCACGTGTATATTAGTGAACATTCGCTCTCGCTCGGAACATTCATAGACTAAAGAAACATTCTCACATGGTTAGAAAATATAACAATTTCTAGATAAAGTCCAATAGATTGACAGACATGTAACTCAGTGTGATGTAATCACAGATGTTTAGAAATAAATAATGATGTAACTTCTCTCTCTTGCAGGAAAGGGGTGAATACTTTGGAGAGAGAGAGAGAGAGAGAGAGAGAGAGAGAGAGAGAGAGAGAGAGAGAGAGAGAGAGAGAGAGAGAGAGAGAGAGAGAGAGAGAGACAGAGAGAGAGAGACAGAGAGAGAGAGAGAGACAGAGAGAGAGAGAGAGACAGAGAGAGAGAGACAGACAGAGAGAGAGAGAGAGACAGACAGAGAGAGAGAGAGAAACAGAGAGAGAGAGAGAGACAGAGAGAGAGAGAGACAGAGAGAGAGAGAGAGACAGAGAGAGAGAGAGACAGAGAGAGAGAGAGACAGAGAGAGAGAGAGAGACAGAGAGAGAGAGAGAGAGAGAGACAGAGAGAGAGACAGAGAGGAGAGAGAGAGAGAGACAGAGAGAGAGACAGAGAGAGAGAGAGACAGAGAGAGAGAGAGAGACAGACAGAGAGAGAGAGAGAGACAGACAGAGAGAGAGAGAGAGACAGAGAGAGAGACAGAGAGAGAGAGAGAGAGAGAGAGAGAGAGAGAGAGAGAGAGAGAGAGAGAGAGAGAGAGAGAGAGAGAGAGAGAGAGAGAGAGAGAGAGAGAGAGACAGACAGACAGAGAGACAGACAGACTAATGACCACCACATCAACTTCTAAACTAAAAAGAACAAAATACACATTAAGCAAATATTTACCTTATGACTAACCCATGTTGGACACCTCCACATATTGGTGCCTAAGTCACGAAGCCTCCAGGCATGTTGCTCTTACACCTGGGTTTGCCTCGCTCCTCCTTCTCCATACATCCCCTACAGGCTACAAGCAGGCTACAAGCAGGCGCCTCACCACACACTGCTGCCTGCAGCTAGCCTGGCCCAGCCTCACGCAGCAATCTTCCTAGATGTAAACAATAATCTCTCTCAATCCTAAAATAGTGTCCACTTTAGCTTCTCATTTAAGTTGTGGTAAGCCCGCTTTTTTTCCTGTTACATTATTAGGGGGTCGGTTTCTGTTTTCTATTTATGCTTAGGTTAATTTATTTTTGGTTTATTTATCGTTTGGAGAGCCATTGTTGTTAGTTTGGTTAGTAATGGGTTCGCGTTCGGTATATGGAGCATTGAAAAGGCGTTCACGAGTCGGGTAATGCGAGAACGTGTTTCTTAAGGCGTATATCAACGCTTGCACAGGTCTTGTTTAACGTTCAAAGCCTCGTTTGGTCATAACGATAACTTAGGCACAGCGAACTTCGTCTTTCATTCATTTTTCCTTTATATATATACATTTTAATATGAATACGCAGGAATACATATCGAGTAATTCAAGTATTCTTAATAGTTTAACAAGACGGGTATTTCAGTGTTCCGTGCGGGTATCTTGTTCACTGTTCAACGACCCAGTTGGGTATGGGTATCCACCGGGGCACGGCGGTGGCGGCCACGGTGGTGGTGGTGGTGATGGTGGTTGGGTAGTGGTGGTGTGGTGGTGGTGGCTGGTGGTGTGTCGTCACTCACCATGCCTGCCCCACACTCACTCCCTCACTACTCTCACTCTCTCCTCTCACCTCAGCTGTGCTGCCGGAGGTAGTGTGTGGTGGTGGGCGCGCAGCTCCCCGCCCCCGCCCCCCCACACACCCCCACCAACTCTCCCCCTCTCCCCCACCCCCTCTAAGTGGCAGCGCATGCGCTGTTATCATGCCTGATCAATAGGTTTCTCCTGACAAGCCGTTCACAGCCACATGGCCTGATACTGGCTGAGTACCACAGCACCAGGGGGCTGCTCTACCACTGTGGTGGCACTCTACCACAGTGGTGGCACTCTACCACAGTGGTGGCACTCTACCACAGTGGTGGCACTCTCACTGTGGTGGCATTCTCCCCATACACCCACTACTGGGTGGGTGGGTATGGGTGCCATACACCCATACCCACTACTGGGCCTGATTGCGTACCATGAAGGGTTATCTTCTTGAGGTTATCTTGAGATGATTTCGGGGCTTTAGTGTCCCCGCGGCCCGGTCTTCGACCAGGCCTCCCCAGGGTGTTAACAGAAGCATCACAAACCATCAACCAATCCCGGCCTCTTAAAAATAACGTCACTTTTGGCTGGTACACGCGGCTGTGGCCAAAAGTGGACGTAATTTGAAATGAAATCGGCTCACAAAAGTGACGTACTGTCCCGTTTTCTGTTTGAGTCGTCCGGATTACTCGGAAAGGTTAGGAGAGGAAACTTTCAATTAACATTTTTCATAACAATTTGAAACCTTATGAGAATTTCCTGCCCACCTAACCTATCAAAGGACCCTTAACTTACTGTTGTTGAAAAAACAAACAAATTTATTTTAATTTTTTTTTCATTTTCAAAATACGTCCACTTTCCGTCATATTGGTAAACAGCCAAAAGCGAGTTAATTTTAAGAGGACAGGTTAACTCAGCACCCTTCCCCCGCTAATCTTTAACGAGTCCCTTACAAGGGGGGAACTGCCCAGCTGTTGGAAGAAGGCTGCGTGGTACCAATCTACAAGAAAGGAGATAGAGAAGAAGCACTTAACTACAGACCAGTGTCACTCACTGGTCTGAGTGACCAGTGAGAAATATTGCCGGAACAACCGTGGACATCTTCAAGAGGAAACTAGATTTATTCCTCCAAGGAGTGCCGGACCAACCGGGCTGTGGTGGGTATGTGGGCCTGCGGGCCGCTCCAAGCAACAGCCTGGTGGACCAAACTCTCACAAGTCGAGCCTGGCCTCGGGCCGGGCTTGGGGAGTAGAAGAACTCCCAGAACCCCATCAACCAGGTATATGTGGGCCTGCGGGCCGCTCCAAGCAACAGCCTAGTGGACCAAACTCTCACAAGTCAAGCCTGGCCTCGGGCCGGGCTTGGGGAGTACAAGAACTCCCAGAACCCCATCAACCAGGTATATGTGGGCCTGCGGGCCGCTCCAAGCAACAGCCTGGTGGACCAAACTCTCACAAGTCAAGCCTGGCCTCGAACCGGGCTTGGGCAGTAGAAGAACTCCCAGAACCCCATCAACCAGGTATATGTGGGCCTGCGGGCCGCTCCAAGCAACAGCCTGGTGGACCAAACTCTCACAAGTCAAGCCTGGCCTCGGGCCGGGCTTGGGCAGTAGAAGAACTCCCAGAACACCATCAACCAGGTATATGTGGGTCTGCGGGCCGCTCCAAGCAACAGCCTGGTGGACCAAACTCCCAGAACCCCATCAACCAGGTAACTCACAAGCATCCCTTGCAAAGCACTTGAAAGAGTTATAAGGTTAAGACTAGTTGCACACCTAGAATGAATTAGCGTTGTGAATTAACAACAATATGGTTTTGGAGAAGGGAGATCATGCCTGGCGAACCTCTTAGAGTTTTATAAGGTAACGAAAATAATGCAAGACAGAGATGGATGGGCAGATTGTATATTTCTGGACTGCCAAAAAGCCTTTGATACAGTCATCTTGAGGTTATCTTGAGATGATTTCGGGGCTTTTAGTGTCCCCGCGGCCCGGTCCTCGACCAGGCCTCCACCCCCCAGGAAACAGCCCGTGACAGCTGGCTAACACCCAGGTACCTATTTTACTGCTAGGTAACAGGGGCATAGGGAGAAAGAAACGCTGCCCATTGTTTCTCGCCGGCGCCTGGGATCGAACTTAGGACCACATGATCACAAGTCCAGCGTGCTGTCCGCTCGGCCGACCGGCTTCCCATCAGAAACAACACAGGAGGCTACTATACAAACTTGAGAGGCAGAAGGGAGTAGGCGTTAACGCATATTAACATGGATAAGGAATTACCTATCTTGAGGTTATCTTGAGTTGATTTCGGGGCTTTAGTGTCCCCGCGGCCCGGTCCTCGACCAGGCCTCCACCCCCAGGAAGCAGCCCGTGACAGCTGGCTAACACCCAGGTACCTATTTACTGCTAGGTAACAGGGGCATTCAGGGTGAAAGAAACTTTGCCCATTTGTTTCTGCCTCGTGCAGGAATCGAACCCGCGCCACAGAATTACGAGTCCTGCGCGCTATCCACCAGGCTACGAGGCCCCTCAACAGACAGTTAGATAATTAAAGTAAGAGTAACAAGCGGGGTGCCTCAAGGGTCGCTGCTGGGTCCTACACTATTCCTCATTTACGTAAATGCAGGAGTTGAGTCTCTTTTGTCAATGTTTACAGATGACCCAAAGCTAATGAGGAGGATTGTAAGATTCTCCAGAATGACTTAAACAGGTTGCAGCACTGGTCCGAGAAATGGCTGCTAGAGTTCAACACCAGCAAGTGTAATGTGATGGAAATGGGATCAGGAACCAGGAGATCGAAAGGCCAATACACGATGAAGGGAAACTAACCTCCCTATAACGACCAAAGAAAAAGACCTGGGAGTGGACATAACACCAAACCTAACTCCAGAGGCTCATATAAACAGAATAACATCAGCAGCATACTCTACTCTGGCAAAAGTCAGAACATCCTTCAGAAACTTGAATAAGGAGGCTTTTAGATCACTGTATACAGCCTATGTGAGACTTTTAGATCACTGTATACAGCCTATGTGAGACTTTTAGATCACTGTATACAGCCTATGTGAGACTTTTAGATCACTGTATACAGCCTATGTGAGACTTTTAGATCACTGTATACAGCCTATGTGAGACTTTTAGATCACTGTATACAGCCTATGTGAGACTTTTAGATCACTGTATACAGCCTATGTGAGACTTTTAGATCACTGTATACAGCCTATGTGAGACTTTTAGATCACTGTATACAGCCTATGTGAGACTTTTAGATCACTGTATACAGCCTATGTGAGGCTTTTAGATCACTGTATACAGCCTATGTGAGACTTTTAGATCACTGTATAGAAATCAACAAAACACAAATATTTATTCAGGTAAATTACATAAATACAAGGTGAAATACAAAAGTTGATGAATTTATAGATAGAGCTAGTACATACAATGCCTAAAGCCACCATTACGCAAAGCGTTTCGGGTACATACCGCCTATGTGAGGGCCAGTCTTAGAGTATGCCGCACCATCCTGGAACCCTCATATGAAAACAACACATAAGGAAGCTCGAAAAGGTGCAGAAGTTTGCAACGAGACTCGTCCCAGAGTTCCGAGGGATGAGGTACGAAGAGAGACTGAAGGAACTAAACCTGACGACGTTAGAAAGGAAGAGAGAGAGAGAGGTGGGGACATGATACAGACATTTAAAATACTTAGAGGGATTGACAAGGTGGAAACAGAGCAATTGTTTACAATAAATAACAACAGAACAGGGGGGGTGGGAGGACACGGATGGAAACTTGAGACTCGGATGTGTGATATGGATGCTAGAAAGTTTTCCTTTAGCGTGAGGGCAGTGAGGAAATGGTGTGACCTAAAGGAGCAGGTTGTCGCGGCTAACTCCATTCATAACTAAACCAGGTATGATAGGGAAATAGGTCAGGGAGTCATTGCATATTAGACAGCCAACAGCTTGAAAAACCGGAGTCCAAGAGCTACAGTTCGATCCTACAGGCACAAATAGAAGAGTACAAATAGGTGCGCATACGCCCACACTCAGGACCACCGCCCACGCATCATGGAACGCCCATACAACCACACCTAAGGTCACGCCCACACCAATAACACACACACACATACAATATGCCCCACCCCGCCTACAAGCAGCAAGCCACGCCCACACCCTCCTAAACATTCCCTTTCCACCCAAGTCACGCCCACTCGGTCGCTCCCACACACATCAAGCCACTCCAACACACATTAAGCCACTCCCACACACCTCTCACATGCACAGAGATATCACATGATCTCAATATATTAATGAGAAAATGTTTCACCTCAAACGATATCCTTAGATTACAAGCCGCATCCTTACGTGAAGACGCTCAGATAACAACAAAGTCACTTCAGCTAACATCTCGAGCCACATCAACATCCCCAGAGCCACATCAACATCCCCAGAGCCACATCAACAAGCCCAGAGCCACATCAACAGGCCCAGAGCCACATCAACAAGCCCAGAGCCACATCAACAAACCCAGAGCCACACCAACAAACCCAGAGCCACATCAACAAACCCAGAGCCACATCAACAAACCCAGAGCCACACCAACAAACCTAGAGCCACACCAACAAACCCAGAGCCACATCAACAAACCCAGAGCCACATCAACAAACCCAGAGCCACATCAACAAACCCAGAGCCACACCAACAAACCTAGAGCCACACCAACAAACCCAGAGCCACATCAACAAACCCAGAGCCACACCAACAAACCCAGAGCCACATCAACAAACCCAGAGCCACACACACACATCAACCATCAACCAGTACCACAACCATCAACCAGTACCACAACCATCAACCACAACCATCAACCACAACCATCAACCACAACCATCAACCACAACCATAAGCAGTTATAAAGCTCACACACTATAACTCTGGACTTTTGTATCAATAATCCGTTTAATTAAACTATCGATTTTTTCATCTG